AATAGTTAATATCATATAGTAATAATTTAATAAATCTATTTTCTTGTAATAAAATAGTAAATAAATAATTAAATTATATAAGCAATATGGTAATATTGAAATTAGGGATTTAAGAATTTTATATACAAATCTAATATAACTTGTTGATAGATATTTTGCAAAGTAGAATAATTTAGCTTTAGTATAATATTATATTGTATATTATATTACTGTTGTTTAAAATTTAGATTAATAAATACTAAGACTTGCAGTCTAATTAGAGACAATAATAATAATAATTATTATTATTATAATTAATTTATTTTTTTAAATAAGTAATATATCGGTAAATTAATAATATTATTATTCAAATTAACAAAATTTTTATTATAATTGATTAAAGTTTTTTGTTTATTGTTTTAATAAGGTAAAAATTTTTTAATAGGGTGATGAAATTTAGATTTGGGTTATCAAATCAATTTTTAATGTGCAAAAAAAGATCACATTAATTGTGCTGCCATGAAAATTATTTCGCGCTGATGGCCCTTCACCTGCCTTCCACTATTTTTCATCAAAGTCAGTTTTCAAATGCGTTCCCCATCTCGTGCTCAATAGTATACAATAATTGCGCAAATGGTCACTACCTTATTGAGATGCTGTAGGATGGTATACAACAGCACTGCTACTCGTAATGGCAATTTGCGCAAACGGAACACAGTACACACTAATGTTCAAAGTCTGAAAAGGATTAATTTCAGTCAGAGATTTTATTCGGGTCGTTCATCAAGCATACCTAGAAAGGTCGTGACCTCAAAACGCAATACACCAGTATCAATCAGTTCTAGCGAATCATATGAACGTCATTTCCATCTCCACGCATCTAAGAAGAATCTAGAAGCCGCGATCGCAGTATACATTCAGGGATTGTTAAGAGGGGTGCGTTTAGGTCAGGATTTTCATTCAAATGTCCGGAAAGTCATTTTAGATGCTCGGGATCCTTACTTAACATTAAAATTGTACAATGATCTGCTTAATACAAATATAAAGTTTGGGGAATCTATGGAATGGAATGCAGCAAAAATAGACAATGCGTTAAAAAGATTTTCTCCCTACAAGGTAGATCTTGCATATCAAACTTTAAAGAAGAAATCGAAAGTGCATAACTTGATTTATCGCGAGGTTGTCGATAGGTTAGCCACGGAATTCAGGTTGGTACAACAGGCGGTGAATTGTTATCGTGACATGAGGTCCAATGGGTATTATCTCGATTTGTGGACATTCAATAGGCTGTTAAATAGTGTATGCAGATCAGACGATTACGACACGGCGTGGAAAATAGTTGAAGAGATGTTGCGCGTCGGCGTAAAACCCGATATTGTCACTTTCAACATCCTTTTGAATTATCAGATCATACGTAAAAGATGGATTCAAGTTGTCCGAATAATAGACATGATTCAGGATGCAAGATTATATCCCACCGAGAGCACCTACCACACATTGACAAATAATAAGTATTTAAGCCGTTTAAATGATCAAGAGGCACGAGAATTTGCGGAGGTAATCATACGGAGAATGTCTCTCTTCAAACAACTAGAGTGGTTTGCGAGTCGTGGGGATGCAAAGATGATGGCAAAAATTTATAAAGAGATGATTGAGAAAGGAATGGACAGGGAGCCCCGCACATTCGGGATCATCGTTCAATATTTCTTTTCGCGTCAGGAGGGGGATAAGGTTAAACAGGTTTACAAAGAGATGATTAGATTAGGGATAAAACCAACTTCATATTTTTACGGTATTCTGGTCAAAGGTTTCGTAAAAATGCAAGACATGAACAATGCGAATAACATGTATCGTGTCATGTCATCAGAATCGATGATAGGGGATATCGACACTTACAACTATCTGCTTTGGGGTTACGCGCAAAACGTAAATCTTGGGGAAATCATTGGTCTACTTGACGACATGCTTCTTTTTAAAATCTATCCAAACATTAACACAATTTCTATAGTGATGAATTTATTCATGAAATTAAAAAATGTTGGAATGGCACGACAACTCTTTGACATGTTGATTACCGAAAATTATCTAGAACCTAATTTGTATGTTTTCAATAGTCTCGTCTTTGGATATACCCACATTGCCAACGATCTAGCAGAAGCCACAAGATTCCTATTGCATAATTCGACCACTCGAAAGATACAACTCAAGGCTTGGACATTTAATATTGTTATCAAAGAATTTATCTCACGAAACAATATGGATGCCGCCATGAGTTTGATGAGACAGATGGAACCGGTGCACGGTGTTGAACCTAACGTTTGGACTTTCTATCACATGATCATTGGTTACATTCGCAGGAAACAATTCGATCAAGCGTTAGAATTGCTTAATGAAATGTCTGAGCGGAGGATGGAACCAAGTCGGAGACTGAATAACTTTATAATGAAAGTGAGACATAGACTCACTATTAATCTACCACCTGCATTCAACTACTCAAAAAGTCATAGAAAAAAATAACCAATAAAGCATAGGACCGAATACATTATCAAATAGAATCACAGGAATTTCGTTTGAAACTTTGATTTATGAGTTCATCTTTTCGTTCCACAGAACTACTGAGAAGCAAAATTCCATTCCTATCGCACCTTATACCGAGATTGGAAAGAATTCCGTTTGACCCTGTGATATGAATTAATAGAAACTGAGCCTGAAGCCCCCTGATCGCAACACTGGATCCACAAGGTATAATCTTACCATATAAAAAATACACCATCCTCCCATTTGCTTAATAGGCATGAAAGTTTACAAATTTGCGAGACCGATAATAACATAAATAATTGTAATGATAATAAAATACATACCCCAGTATGAGAGCGTAAAACTTCGCAAATTCTCGGCACTCCGGAGACTTCGCTTCCCTGCTGATTAATGTAAACACGTTGTTTTAAACCAATATCTTCGCCTAAAGTGAGAAGTAAGGTAACATCGGGCATATATGTCCACGTTGTCTTTAATGCAGGTTTTGCTGTTGTCGAAGCAAAAGCAGACATGGGATTGGTTGAACGAGAGTTTTCAACAGAATTGGTCACCTATTATGCAATTCATGTGAATCTGTAAATCTTCTTAGGTGTACTCATAATGTAATAGATCAATACCAGGATGGCTATATCATGCTCTCTGGCTAAATCTCGGAGCATTCGCGTTAAACTTGTCATCAGCGAATTTGCTAAAATGTTGGAAATGATTAAAATGATTATTAAAAGAAATTTTTTAATTTGAAAAGAGATCTAGTAATTGTACTTGGAACCTTTTTCATCCGCATATCCTCCCAAAATCGGCAAGAATAATGGTGCAATGGAGTCCAACACCACCAATTTCAAGCCGGAATAAAAAGAGTCTTCAGACTGACGGAATTTAGCGAGATTAGTTGTTGGACTAATTGTATTACCATTCCTTATTGTTGCGAATACCTTTACTTGAAGTTTCTGACGTAAATCTTCAACAAGGGAAAACACCGCAAAGACATCCATGCAATTTCTCGAGATTCTAATTCTCCGAAATACATTTTCAGCGCACTGTTTACAAAAGAAATGAGCACAAAGTGAACTTTGACAAATTAATGAATAATCTAAATTTGTGGCAACTCACCATCCCTTGGTCTCTCGCGTCTACAAACCTATCGCTTTCCTGAAATAGGATACGCATCAACTCGGGTGAAAATGAGTTCAAGGTATCAATATATAAGACTGTGTTATCGACATTTAAACATGCTGTAGAAAGCGTTGCTGCATAGCACAACTAGTTAGTATACAAACAAATTTGTAGATTAGTATCAAGACTAAATTACGAAGAATCGATGACTGCATACCCGTGTTTTTCCTGTAGTTGACTCTCCACTGATCTCCGTGATATCTCCGAGATGTAATCCCCCCGCCAATAAATCATTGATGCTGTTTGCGATAAAAGTAATTATTAGTAAAGATTGTGTGGTGTCATCTTCCATTAAAAGTTCACTCACCCGGAACATCCGATGGATAAATAATTTGTCAGACGTGTATTTAACTTGTCCAACAATTCAAGGCCTCGTTTCGGTTTGACTTTATTTAACTCGATAACCTGACGGCGCAATTTTTCGAAGGCCTATACTTTTGATAATAATTCAGACGTTTTTTTATTCGACAATTAAAGATGATGAGCACTCACTTCCATTGAAATTTTTTGTTTTTTACAATACTCTTCTACATTCACTTCGCCAAATAAAATTTTTGCTTCTTTTTAAAGATACATAACGAATTTTATTATCCTTATTGTTTGCGTCTAACTTTCATGTTCTGGAATTACCTTCCGGAATCCTAGCCAAACTGGTTGCTTCAGTCATCATCTACAATAAAGTCGTTGCGACAGGAAATCAACTTGAGTACGTAATACGCGTTTTTATGCAATTGTAGTCACGTTATTATCACGAGAGCATAAGTAGCACGAGTTCTGCATGATCTTTACGCAATGGGTCGTTTGGTTGATTCTTCTTTGAACCTCGTTCGGCTATGGCGTTCCACTCACGAGTTAACTGTTGGTGAGATATCAAGATATAGGATTCGTTTTGATGGGTCAAAACATCCTTCAAGTGCGGCTTGGCCGCCTGTGAATCTAGTGCTCAAAATCACCAATGCGTCTCCGATACTACTTCGAGGTGCCTTTTTGAGTGGACCTTATAACATCTCTGCCTCGTGTGTTGAAACTAGCCAGCACGGAATAAATCCGCTATCAAAGATCGTCGTACCACAATCGAAAGGATGCATAAAGTGTGGAGAATTTTGGAAGATAACACTGGAAATACCTTCGAACGGTATTGGCGATTGGACTATCGATATCCTAAGTGAAGTAATATTTACTTCCAACAAGGTCAAATATGATATAGG